GACCTTCATGGGACAGAATGAGCAAGAAAATGTATTTAATAACCTGGATGCTCTGAAATCGTCTTCAAACGACTCGGCTCATGTAGTCGAGTGTTTATGTAGCTTAATAAAATAAAACCTTTTTATCTGCTACATCTGTGATGCTGGATGATCAAATTTACTCCCAGCAACTTTTCACATGAAACGCTTGTATAAAGCAGAGATGCTGGTAGCAAATGGGAGGAGGTCATTGAAGGCCGTTCTGTGACCTGGCGAACTCCTCATCCTCCTCTTCCTCTGAACTGTTGAGACGTTTCTGACAGAAACACACACGGCCTGACAGCACGGAGGTCTCACTCTGGTCGGAAAGTCATGCAATAATCCCGCCACTGTTATGTTTATGACTTATAAAAATCCAGGAGACAGAATTTATTCATTATTGATGACGTTCGCTTTAAAAGAAGCATGAAGCTTGTGCCGATTTCAGAAGCTCATAATGGAGAAGTACGGCGCGTAATCTCCTGACAGTTTGAGTGCAACCTTGTGTATAATACATTGTTAAATCAGAGCCCCATTCACACAGCAATGTGTTTATTATAGTCTTTATTACATTTTCCAATAGAAAAAAAAAACGCACACAACTGTTCCTCAGGCTGTGGATTTATGATGCAAACTGCAAATTCATTTCAGTTTAATGTTCGTTCCAACACCTCCTCATCCCAGCTTAAAACGATTCGTATTGTACAGAACAGTTTCTGGAGGATAATAATGTGTTCAAGCTATGTTCTTTTTGGTCCTGCGTTTAATCCGGAGATTCAGTCTGCAAGTGAAACATGTTTGGGGTTTTTTTCGGTGCTTTGGACAGTTTCACCATCAACAGTTTTTGGAGAGGTTTCATTTCTGTTATGCATTCGCTCAAAGTTGAAGACGCTTTACACTGGAGATTTATGTGAAGAAATGATGATTCTGGGAATTACTTTGAATCTTTGAGTCGGTTTTAGACAGCAGAGCACTTTGATTCACAGGCTGCAATATAAACTGTCAGCCACTTGCAAAGCAAAACATTTACAAGTCAGTTTGTCAGACTGATATGAACCTATATATATAAAATCCCACATATAAACGGGTTAAAAACATAAATAAAGAAAAGTTACCATAATAGAAAAGCTATATAATAATAATAATTATTATTATTGTTATTATTATCTGGGGAGGAAAAAAAATCAAAGATTTAGACAAATGAGTTTTCTAGTCTCAACCAGGAAAGAGCTCCCCTGGTGGGCAGGACAGTTACTGCAAGATAAGAGGTCAAGCTTGTATTTTGTAAGTGGGGTTCTGTCAGGAGATCATCAGTAGTCAGTATGTTACTCTTTTACCATAATCACTTTGATGGTTTTTCTATGTGAATGTCAAGGTTTTTCACTGATGTCACTGTTGGATGAAATTATTTTGTTGTGATCTGTTGTCTCACAGCAAGTAAGTCTGAATTATGTCTGGTGTCCCAAGTTGAGTTTGCATGGTCCACCTGTTCAGGTGTGGGTTCAAAAATCAATTGTCAATAAAAATTCAAACTATCCCTTAAAGCGAATCAATAAAAAAAAATATTTCTTATAAACACGTCTGTAAGTAAGTCGTTGCTGTTCAAATTCAAGTAAACATTTAAGATAATTATTTATACTTATTTTGGTGAACTATAAAGTTTTCTATGTTGCCCATCTGATGCAGAATTGGACAAAGGATCAAAGAAAGTCATAGCTGATAATATCATGTTTAATTAGTCTAAAAACAAGTCACCAGGAAGAATCTGTTCCTGTTGTTTTCTGCCATTATAAAAATGTTTCCATTATAACAGGTTGTATAGTCCACCACTCTGTTTTTATTTACAAGTAGCAAAATGAATAAAAATTGTATAACACAAAAACCTATTGGTGAGCATTCCCAAAATGCTGCAAAATTAGCTGTCCATATTATATGTTAGCATGTTTAAAGGGTATTGCATTCTTAAAATATTTATGCTGCTGCTTTCTTCTTCTTCTTTTTTTCTTTTAAAAAGGGAAGAAACCTCTATTTTTATTTTTATTTACTATTCTGGTCAATTTGGTGGCGCCAAACAAACAGCAGATACAACAACAAAAAAAGGGTCAGATCAAAACATCAATCAACTTTGTTACATTTTCGCCCTGAAGAAGCCATGTTGAAAACATAACATGTATGAGCAGAACCGAGTCACTCAGCAGTAAAAACAGCAGCCATGCCAGTCGAATATGAAGCCCTTTAAACTCTCTGGCTCATGTTTGAGATCTGATGATGCTAAATTAAAAAGTAGCAGGTGGGTTTATATGAATGTCTTTAAAGAATGTCAGAGCAAACAGAATATCTAAACTTTTATTATATTATATTTGATCTTCCTTCAGCCATACTCAAATTTGTTTACATCATACTTTACTCCCATTCCTGAAGACGCTAACAGCTCCTCTGATATTTAGCTAGTTGCAAACATGCTATGAAATATTTTGTTGTGAATTTTGTATTAGAAGAGTAAACTAGTTAGTTGTTAGGTCAGAGCTCAGTGAAGTTTTCTCCACATGAAAACAATATCGTACCAAGAAGGTTTGACATGCCATTAGAGAAGTGGCAACGTGGCTAATCAATGTTAGCATAAATACTCTCAGTGTCGTAACAGGATTTGGTGAAACATGAAATAGGCGCAAGTTGATTTAGAGGAAATGTGCTGGATATATTATGCATCATGCAGCTGGAGAGGTAAAAACAAACAAGTGGGGGAATAATTAGCTTAGCTTTGAGTTTTTTAAGGGCTACCACCACTCAACTGAAAGGCCAGCGTTATATTAACTCTAAAACTGAACAATGTTTGATTAAAATTAGGCACACAGAAAAATAACTTCAGGCTGACTTTTACAGTCTGACAGTAAGTTTATCGTAAATGTAAGAATTCTTTTGCGATTTCAGCAAATCCGAACAGTTTTCAAAAAAAAAAAAAGTTTTTCTTTTATAAAAAAAAACAGTTGACTACCTGTAATATACAGATGTTTAAAGCAAACAGAAAATGACTCGAGTTTATCAAGTAGATGATTTCTAGAAGCATCTAAAAGCTGTATTTTATTCAGGAGCGTCAAAATGAAGAGGGATGAATAAAAACGCGATAGGATTTCCACTTATTTATGTAGAATTTTCCTTCCGCTTTTTAATAATGCTCTACGTTTTGTGTGTCAGTCAAATAAAATCCCCCAAAAATGCATCACAGTTTGCATTTTGTAACACGGTTACAGGTTCAAGGGGTGTAAATATTTTTGGAAACTCTAATTTTTAAAAATGATTATTTTAATAAACACCCTCAGGCACTTATAAACCGTGCTGATTAATGTAATAAAATATAATTTGGTTTATCTGTCGAGATTACATTTTGAAAATGTCACGTTGCAGATTTGACTGCTTGGTGGCTGGGATGTAATTAACTCAGTCAGAACTTTATGAGAACGCTGCAGTGGACGTGACCTGATTCCTGTACCTACTAAACAACGTCTGTCTTTGCTGTCAGTTCTATATAATAAATTACATTTTTTTAACACCACTTTTTAGATCCATCCATTTTCTGAACACCCTTGTCCCTCAGTGGGGTCGGGAGGGTTGCTGGTGCCTATCTCCAGCTAACGTTCCGGGCGAGAGGCGGGGTACATCCTGGACAGGTTGCCAGTCTGTCGCAGGGCAACACAGACACACAACCATGTGCACACACACACACACACCTAGGGGCAATTTAGACAGACCAATTAACCTAACAGTCATGTTTTTTGGACTGTGGGAGGAAACCGGAGTACCCGGAGAAAACCCACGCATGCACAGGGAGAACATGCAAACTCCATGCAGAAAGACCGGGGCCGGGAATCGAACCCAGAACCTTCTTGCTGCACGGCAACAGCTCTACCAACTGCACCACTGTGCAGCCTCCACTTTTTAGATGTAAATTGTATTTCTTTGTTTTACGTGTGCATGATTTATTCCAACCTCGCCTCTAACAAGTGGTTTAGTCAAAGACCAAAATGAAAATGAAGATGTGAAGTCGAAACCAGATATTTACATACACTCTGTATGACATCAAATCAAACCAAATAAAATGTTTCTGTTTTCTCTGTGCCAGAATTATGAGAGGATTGTTTTAGACAATCATTTTCTTTAAAGCTGTCTCTCCATTCATATTTGGTATAATTTTTTTCTTGAAAGCTTCCTTCTTTTTCTTCCAAATGTCATCAATATGGCCAAACATACAGAAAATTTAAGAAGACCATCGAACGTGTCTCCAAATACAAAGGTCTATATGGATTTCTGAGTCCATCTGTAGACTCCAATCTGTCTGTTTTACTTTTCTTTTTTTATTTCAGAATCTTTCCGTTTGCCTTTGGTGTTGATACACACATTTTGCAGCAAAACACATTAATCTCTGGTACACATCCATCCATAAGTGTGTATCCAGGTAATTCAAATGGATTACAATCAGATGACATCATCTAAGGTTTTCTAATACTGTTCAAAGGATATTTCAGCAATTTTAACTGAGACTTTTCCTTGTTAGGGCGCCCCAAACAGCATTAGCTTCTAGATGGTGAACCACTAGAAGCTAATACTAAAGGAAATGTTGCAAAATAGTTAGAGAAGCATCAACTTTTAGAATGTTTATTTCTCACATTTATTCACTATTCTTCATAACAGGGCATTTCTTCTGTCTTGGTTTTATCAGAATCTTGTCCATTTCGTGCTTGTTAGCTATGCTAGCTTTGCTAGCTTAAGGAGCAAAGCAGCTTGACAAATTTGACTGGCAGCCAAACAGAAAGATACGCATGGAAACAACATTTCACTAAAATATTTTAACTTATATTTTATGATAACAAAAAACTATTACATTTTATGATTAAAACAAATTTTGATTAAAAAAATTATTCAATTCATTTTTATTCCTGTTTCAGTTTTCTGAAGAGCTGCAGGCGCCACCTGGTGGCCCCCACTTTAAAAAACACTCCTCCAAATGACTTAAAACTGGAAAAGTTTGTCTAAAAACTGGATGTATATACATATCTGGTTTCTGCTGTATGTATCTTCACATAATGCACAGCTGACAAATGAGCAACACCTTCATTTCAGAATAAAAACACCATGTGCGTTTCAGTCCAGGCTCTGAAGAACAGAATGTGATGCTGTGGTGTTAGATTTCCTCTTCACAAGCTTCCCGGCCATCAGTCTTATGTTGCTAAAGGTGTTTCATCTAGGATATTGTGCTGTTTCTTAATGTCACAGTAAGATTTGTGCAAAGAAAAAAAATATTTCTGCTGCTCCTTTGTAAACCTGGCGACCCGCAGATATAATCTGATGCACAGGGACGCCTGCAGTCAAAGCAGTGAAATCTCCCCCTTCTCTTCAGCTTCTCCAGAAAAGTCATTCGACCGTCAGCGTCTAAGTGTTCATTGACGCTCTAATCTCAGCCGCCCTCTGAGCAGCCATGGACTTCCTCCTCTGCGCCGCCGCAGCAGTGGCCTCCGCCATGCCACGGTAGCTGTCCGTCTCCTGCGAGTCCTCGCTGTTCTGCGACTTGGTGCTGTCCTGCGAGTCGGGCTTCTGCCTCAGCGCCCGGTTCTGTTCCTCCTTCAGCTCCACATAGGAGCGGGAGAAGGTGTGAAAGATGGAGGTGACGGGGAAGGCCATGAGCAGGATGCCGCTCAGGATGCTGCTGAGTGCCACCACCTGGCCCGGGATGCTCCTGGGGACCATGTCGCCGTAGCCGACCGTAGTCATGGAGATGACGGCCCACCAGTAGCTGCTGGGGATGCTGGTGAACTCCTGCTTGGCGCCCATCTCGCTCTCGGCGAGGAACACTAGTGGCGAGAAGAGGGCCATGGCCACGCAGAGGAAGAGCAGCAGCAGGCCGAACTCGCGCGTGCACCTCTTCACCGTCAGGCCCAGCGTCTGCAGGCCCAGCGAGTGGCGGGCCAGCCTCATCACGTAGAAGATCCGCAGGGCCCGCAGGACCCGGAGGACCAAGCCCACCTTCTCCAAGTAGTTGTTCCCCGAGCCCGCGGGCTTGCCCCCCACAGACAGAGAGTCCACGATCAGGGTGATGTAGTAGGGGAGGATGGCCACCACGTCGATGACGTTGAGCGGCGTGCGCAGGAACGTGCACTTGCTCTGAGTCTGAATAAAACGCAACAGGAACTCCAGGGAGAACCAGGCGACGCAGACCGTTTCCAGAACGAAGATGTTGTAGCACCTCTGGGAGCACTCACCCTGCAGACGGAGAGAGCAAAGGAAGACACACGTTAGGGTTCGACGTAAGGACATACACTGCTTTGTTAAAGTAGGTGCTAAGCAGAAAAAACGGGCTAGTCCAAGAACAGGTTAATGGTAAATGGGCACTTTATCAAATCCAGAGGACACTGAAGCACGTCACTCATTCACGCACACATTCACATGCAGATGGTTGTTAGCTACCATAAATAACATTTCCTAAAGCAGACATTAATCAAAAATGAGAAGTTGTCTTTTTCAAAAGATTACCTCTAAAATATATATTTTTTTAGCTGAAATAAAGAGAAAATGTCTCTTTGGACTGTAACAGGTCCAGAGCCTTGACATAACATGACTTAATGTTTTATTATATTATTTGCTTCTGAACTCATCAACAAGTGGTACAACAATAGATTCTTTCCATTGCCATCTGTAAAGGACAAATTTAGAGAATGCGACATGTTTCATGTCAGAAGCCAGATTTAAACGCCTCCACAGTTTTCTGCTGATGTTCATGATGCTGTTTGTTCACTAATGTCCTCTAACAACCCATGACGCCTTCACAGTACAGATGGATTTGTACAGACAGCTGTTCTTTACTTATTAAGAAAGTGACTTCTAAAAACAAGCTGATAAACTGGATTTTATTTAAGGGTAGTGTAGTAAAGAACATGACACATTATTTTTTTTTTTTCCTTTAGAAAAACCTGACCATGTATATTCCTTTGTGGTCTATCACATAATCCACATCAGATACACTTTACAGTAGCAACATGACAAATGGTGGGGAAAGAACCACAAGGCGTTTCCAAGCTTTTGATCCGATTCTTGAATTCATTCGTAGACAAAGAAGATTAAATGTCGCAACAAAGACGGGGAGCCGGTTCTCTCGCACAACAAAACGTGACACAGAAGGTGCTGAAAGATTCATGAAATGTAAAGCAAAAGGCTTTGATTGCCAAGTCTTGAAACCCGGCCTGACTCACACATCAAACCCGGGTGATCAAGAGGTGAGAGCTGGGAAAGGTGTAAGATGTGCAGATGTTGGAATTAACTGTCAAAGCAGCGCTTCCCTTTCCCCCCAGCTTAACGCTCTCTCCTCTTTGCGGCTACCGACTCTTTGAGTCGGTAGCCGCAAAGAACTACCGCAATGAACTACCGACTCGGCGTTCATGAATATCTGAGTTTATGATCATAAGGGATTTATTGTGCGTTACGTAAAAGTCACATTGCAGATTGAAAGTGAGCATATTTCTTTTGTCTCAATCATTAATCACATTAAAGGCTAAACTAATTTTTTTCCCCTGTTAATATTGATGGACTGGACTAAGATATGTGGAATCCGCTGAGCCGATGAAACTTCCTGTGATTCTGAAACGTCCTTAATCTTACAAACAGAGGCAGTTGTGACTCATACAGCTGCTTCTACAACAATTTTAAGCAAATTTGATTAATCCAAGAAGAATTCAAACACAAAACATTTGTGCAAATTCATTGGGGCACCAGCGTGAAATTTGGGCCAATGTTGTTTCCCAATGGCGTCTATTGTTTTGATACCTTACGGGAGAAAACTACCGGAAACAGACGGCAACAAGACGGAAATAAAGCTCAGTTGTTGATTTCTGTCCAGTTTTATTTCTCGGGCTGATAACGATACATATCGGCCGATAGCGATGTTAGTGCCAATATGTCGCGCATCCATAGAGCCTATGATGTGGTGTTAGGGCTTTTTAAAATATTACGACTTTATTCACATATTAGTTTGACTTTATTCTTGTATGACTTTATGACTTGTATTACTTTATTTTATTTTCGCAATTTTATGACTTCATTCCCATAATTTTTTTTCTTATATTTTTTAGTAGAATTGTGGCACCTATGAAGGAGTAGGTGCCATAGTTCTTGTTTAACCTGTTGTTCTCAGGTTGTCATTCACAATGACAGGGATGTCAAACTCCAGTCCTCAAGGGCCGCTGTCCTGCAGTGTTTAGATGTGCCACAGGTAAAAAACGGTGGAATGAAATGGCTTAATTACCTCCTCCCTATGTAGATCGGTTCTCCTGAGCCTTGCTAATGACCTAATTATTCTTTTCAGGTGTGGTGCAGCAGAGGCACATCTAAAAGTTGCAGGACAGAGGCCCTTGAGGACTGGAGTTTGACACCTCTGTCACGAGAGGACCCAAATTTGGGTCCTCTCGTGACAGACAGGTTAAACGACTCAGTTTTTAGGAAACAAGTGTTTTTGTCTTTTTTTTTTAAACTTGAATTGACCTCCTGTTTTGTCTGAGGTCAGTTCCTCTTAGCCACACCAGCAACAACCACAGCCGACTTTAGTGCAAACATTTATTCTCCATAACAGCAATGGTGGTCATTTAAAAAAAATGTCCACCAAAAAAGGGAAGCACAAGATCAAGAAAATCGATGTGATTTCTACGGCTCATGATACGCACCAAACAAAACCAGTTCATCTAAGTGGTCATTTTAGCTAAAAAGAAAAAAAAAAAAGGTCCATGACCACCACAGTCGCCATCTTGAACAATCAAAAACTTATTAGTAAATATGATTCCTATGGTTGTAATTATGTATGATGTGACACTAGAAGGAGTCAGCTGTGATAAATATTTGCAACTTTAGTGCAAAAATACATTTTCCTGGACGACCATCTTAAATTTGTCAGTGTTTAATGTTTTTTGTTTCCTTTTTTCCCCCAAAAAAAGTAAGTCCCTGAAAGCGTCTGTTCCCATTTAGGTTCTTTCACTGAAATATTTAATTATCTGCTACACAACTGGTTTGCACAAAACAGCGCATCAACATAAATTCTTGCACATAAACCATTTTCTCATGAACTTGCTCAGTCAGCCTCCTGCACTTTTCAAAAGCACACTCTCAGCTCAGGCATGTGTTCCTTTTTCCTTCTTTTGCCCCCAGAGACCTGAAACTTGCAAAACCCATTAAGGAGCATGTAAATGACTGATCGGCAGAACCAGAGTTGCAGTTTTCTCCTGCAGTCACAGCGGCGGCAATAAACTACTTAAGTGACAGTTCACACCAAAAGTAAGACGAGACAGTAATTGAGTTGAATTTAGAGAAATGAGGGAGTAGAAGCTCTAATAAGACGTGGCACAGGCTAATTTATCAAACGGCAGATATTCCACCTCAACCGAACACGACCAGGTTTCAATATTTGGATGATATTAGCTGGAATCGCTCCGTCCGACTGGAGGAGGTAATTTCACGCCCTCACTTCAGGGAGCGCCGGTAGTCTTAGGAAGACTGCCTAATGTTGCTTCTGACACAAGATGGAGGAAAACACAATAAAATGTGGCACTTTTCATTCGGCCCGGATACATTAGCATCACAGTCCCACTTTTCTTTGAAAACTTAATGGCCTTTCAATGCAAAACTGTCGACTGCAGGCGCAGAAATAACATATTTAATTGAGATCTGCATCGCATTAAGTTTTGGAAATTGAATTGCGGCTGTCACACGTTGAGCTGAGTGCAGAACAGTGACACTGAACGCCGGCAACTTTGTGAACGTTTCCTTCTGCTTTTCCTGTCGACATTGTTCAGGTGTCAAACAAAGCAGCCCTGATTACATGGAGCATCCGTCTTTGAGTTTTCTACACCCGTTAACGGCCTGAAGCCTGTCCCAGCAGGTGATGTACGTCCTGGACAGGCCGTCAGTCCATCACAGAGCTAACAGAAAACACAAACCCTTAACTGGAAGGGCAATCGGGAGGAAGCAACCAGGCCAACAGGCAACAAGAATCCCTGGAAGAAAGTCACTAATGTAGAGATCAGGCAGAGAGGCCCTGGCAGAGATCTGAACCTCGGCCCACAACAGACTTTACAGAGAAAGATACAATGCCAAGATGTCAGTAGCTGGTAAAACGAAGAAATGTTAGAAACCTCAAAGGCCATCCACCGTGTCAGCCATGTGGTTCTGTGGGCGGCAGAAAAATCTCAAAAGAGGGTGAGTCCTTCAAATGTACAATTATATAAAAATACTTATTTTCTCTCACTGGCTGACAAATTTGAAGAAGAAAAAGAGAAAGATAAGATGATTAAAAAAAAAAAAAAAAACTTTTCCTTTAGACTTTGTTTTCAGATCCTCTCCATTAAAAAAATAACAAAAAATAAATATTTCTAAACACCATTAATCCAAGATGGCTGGCAGCTTCTCCTCTTTCAACTGTCACCAATTTCAATCAATTGTTCAACCTGCTGTCTCCACAGATCCAGTCACATCACATGCAGCTCCAGCCTGTAGCATCAGACTTAGCACCAGCTATTTAAGCCTGATGCTAATTCTGGCGCTACAGGAGTGTAGTAAATGAAATTCCTCTCCTAACAATATTTACTTTTCTTTCATCGCTGTGCAAATCGGATTAAATGTCACATGATAGGACATGTGCTATGGAAGTGGCACAGATCTGATATTTTCTTTAGGTGAAAATATCCGAATCTAGTCAATCAGACGGCCGAGAAAAAGTTGGATTTGGCTCGCATCTCTGAAAACACATGGAAATTTCAAAGTTTCTAAAGTCAAAAAATTTTGACTTTTGAAACACAGAAATGTTGTAGTTCTTTTCTCGAAAAGTTTTGAGTTTAATTTCAAATTTTCAAATTTTTTTCTTGTAAATCTTTGACTTTTCATACTCAAAAAATGTCCCTTTTCTCTGTTTTTTGGTGGAAATTAACATTTTTCTTTTTCTAATTACAATGACCCTGATAGGACATTGTATGTCAGAGCTGATGTATGGAAGAATAAAAATAAATAAAGTGCAATTCAACACATACAGACAATGAATCAAGGGATATTCATATGCAGAATTCATTTTAGGATGTTTTGAAAGCTACATATCCCTTTTTCACCCACTTCATAATTTTTCATACGATGCGTTTGTCTCCAATCCCAATAAAACATAGCACCTGTTTTTGTTTTTCTTTTTGTAATGTGGTAAAAAGAGGAAAAGTCAGGCTTTCTACCTTACGAAA